TTTTCTTTTCTTTTCTTTTCTTTTCTTTTCTTTTCTTTTCTTTTCTTTTCTTTTCTTTTCTTTTCTTTTCTTTTCTTTTCTTTTCTTTTCCTTTTCCTTTTCTTTTCTTTTCCTTTTCTTTTCTTTTCTTTTTTTTCTTTTCTTTCTCCTTTCTTTCTATCTTCATTGATTTCAGAGAGAGGAAAGGAGAGGGAGGGAGAGAGATAGAAACATCAATGATAAGAGAGTCATTGATCGAGCCCGCAACCCGGGCATGTGCCCTGACAGGGAATCGAACCCCAGTCTCCTGGATCCTAGGTCGATGCTCAACCTCTGAGCCACGCCTGGCCGGGCCAGATCTTTATTTCTCACTGTATCAAACGAAGCCTTTAAAATTGTTGTTTTTCTTATTCTGAAAGTTATATAGAGTCAAAAGGAACAAACTTCCAGTTGTAAAATAATTAGGTCATGGGATGTAATGTACAGCATTATATGTGCCCTGTCATTTCTCTCTAGAAGTGTTAACAGTGGTTTTTTAAACCCCAAATTTGGTGGGATTCTCTGTTTTTTTGCTTGGGGTAGGACTTTTTTTGTCACTGTGGTAGAACACTCAGGACTTCCCTCCCTTCACCCCCTCCTTCCTTGCCTCCTCTTGGCTGGAGTTGGAGGGCATTACCCACTTTTACTTCCTTGCAGATGAGTTGTGGCCTCAGGGCAAGGCTGGGCCTTTGGTGTGATTGTCTGATTATCATGGTTCTCAGACTCTGATCAGGACTGAGAAGAGGGACTCTGAGGAAGGGCTAGCCTACTGCCCTCACCCTGCCTGCACCAGCCTCTTTATCATGTCCAGGTGTCTTCCCACTCAGAAAAGGAAAGTTCTAGCAGTGGTGAGAAGAGGGAACCATCATTTTCAAGCTCTAGAAACAGTATCCTTGATGTAGGGTGCACACCTCCCCTCCGTGGAATTTCCAGACATGCAGGAGAGCCCTCTGAGCTCCCTCCCTTCCCATGGAAGGTTAGACACAGCTTTCTTCCTTCTGAGCTCCCAGCTGTGGTTCCTCAGACTCCGAGTATTCTGCAGACATTTTTTTAACATATTAAAAATAATGCATTTATTATAGAGAAACCAAGTAGGTTTCCTTATTTCTTTGTTCCTATATGCTTTTTATTTTCACATTTTAGTGGTTCTGAAATTGGGATGCACCTTAGAATAGATCTGTACATCTTGATATGATCCTATTTCTTTATTTCCTAAAGGGATGTTTTTCAAATCCACTGGTGATTCCCAAAGGACTACATTCTAAAATTGAGGAACTACAGTAAAAGTAGAGTTTGGGAAACAAAAAAATGTTTCAAAACATGGGATCCAAGGGAGCAAACAAATCGAAGGGATTCTTGGTGGTGGAGAGTTGGGGCCACCACCTTAAATCTCATGTTTTTCAAGAAACTTTATGTGTGACCATCATGGGAAAAAGTGCTGGCGAGGCCTAATTCTGCACCACCGCCTTCTTTCTGCGAGGTGACATAGTTGCAGTGAATGGTCCATACAGTTAGCCCCATGCCATTCCTCCTCCAGATTCCAGGCAAACATGTGCGTATTTAGCAGAAGGAGCTTTCTTCCTCCTTTGTAGCATTTGCTAGTTTACAATTGTTGGGACTGAAAAAAAGCATTTTGCTTTTGCCTGCTGGCCTGTGGGCTTTTCTGGGGCGGCCTCAGAGAGTGTGGCTGTGGGAGCTCCAGGATGTCCTGGCGCGCCCCTAGCCCCTGCATGCGATGGAGGCCTCCAGCATGCTGTGAACATGCTCAGGGATGCTGCCAACTCCCGGCAGTGTTTTGTGTAAAGAATGGAGCCGCTTTCACAGTTTGTCAGCATGGCTGGAGGTTGTCAGATCAAGGACTGCACCTCACAAGGACAAACAGGGAGACTCCGAGTACACCCCAAATGGGATGCTGCTCCCTGAGCCTGCCCAGTCCCTCCCGCAGGGTGCCAGCCAAGGTGCTTGGAGGTCGATGAATCCTCTGTCATGTTAGGCTGCCGAGCGAGAGAGCATACCCGGCCCTGACAGTGCACTCAGCAGTCTGGAAGACACTGTCCTCCCAGCCTTTTCCCTCCTCCTCTAGTCATACTAAACCCCATAGCTGTGGACCTTCACACCAGTCCCCCCCCCTGCAGCCCAGTTCACAGGTCCTGCAAGGCCCAAGTCAAGGCTGGCTTCATCTCTGAACTCTCCTTAGAGGAAAATGCCTCTGTGTGTGCACAGGAAGCTGGCTTCCTAGTGAGACAATAAACCAGGAGCTGGGTCTTCCTTGTTTCTATCATGATACAGTTTCTGACCTTGAATACCACTCGCAGAGCTAGTACCCAGAGGACACACCGAGGAACGGGTTTTCCTGACACCTGCCCCCGTCCCCTGTAGACCCCCATTGACCAAAGCACCCTGGCTGGCCCCGGGATCCTAGAGCAGGGGCTGTGCCAGCCTCCCCACAGGGGGTGCCCGCTCAGGTGGCATTTCACTCCCCGCTGGACTTTTTCCTGCACCTCTCTCATCCCCCGAGTAAGTGGTAATGAGCAACTTAATGTGCTGACTTCTCTAGTCCCTCCTTGGTCCATTACAACAAAAGTTGCTCTTTTCTCATTAGGACCATTTTTGTCAGGGTGTCTTTAATCAATGGCTTCCCCGGGGACAATATTTTTAGAAGTTGTATTTTTCACACTCTCCCTTTTTCCCCTTTTGGAAAATCTCTTCCCAGGGCCTAGTGAAATGAACTAATGAGATGCCAGGAGAGTTCGGCTGGTGTTAATTGGCCCAGGTATGGAGAAGCTGCACACACCTCCGTCCACCCTGCCTTACCTGCACTCCCTCTCTGTCTCCTCGGTGTAGGTGGCACAGACGGCAGATGGTGTGGATGCTGACCTCTGGAAAGACGGCTTGTTTAAGTCCAAGGTTACCAGATACCTGTGTTTCACGAGATCGTTTTCCAAAGAAAATGTAAGTCTAGTGGCGCTTTTCTGTTTGCTGAGCAAGCTCAAGCCACTTACATTCTCGTTTGAAATTTCCTCGTGTTTTTGTGGTGGTTTATTTTCATCGCCATATGAATTTATCTGTGGTTTCAGAGAACTGGGTGGAATCCACAGCTCTCGCTGTGCTTCATTTATTAACAGGATTATTAACCGTGTACCCAAGTGTCCCGTGAATTCCATTAAGATGTGTTCTCAGAAGGAAACCAGGAAATATCTCTTGCAGCTCTCATTGGCCCACCTTTCCTCCAAGTAACAGTGGAGCTGGGTTTAAAGCTGACCAACAAAGGGAGGCATAGCTAGAAAGATGCCACATGTCCCCCTTTCCACAGATATAGCCCTGTTTCCAAAATGACTCTCTCTCCCTCAGTCTCTGTATGACCTAGGACATTTCATTGTTTCTGCAGGTAGGTATCCATCAAATGTAGGTGTCTTTTAGAATGCTATTTTTCATATTTGGGCCGGCCTATAAATTAGGAAATTTTTGGAGATATCTACTAAAGCTTTTCCAATAGTGTTTTAATGGGTGGTTTTAAAAAAAGGGGGGGAAATAGTTTTCCTGAGTATGTACTCTGTGTGGGGCCTGCCCAAGTTACCCTGCAAAATACACCTCTTCCATCCCAGACAGTCTCTTGAAGTATTAGCTCCTTTCCTGGGATCAGAGAGTTTGGGGGCTTCTCCAAGGCCTCCTGTCTTTCCTAGCTCCAAATAGGGAGTAGATTTTCATTTTAAGATTTTCATTTTATTTGGGGCTTAAATGTTACTATCTCTTTCTAATGCAAAGGTTTTTGAAATATTTTTGTTAATTTATAAGTTTTATTATAACAGTAACATATGTTCATGGTTTAAAAAGAAAAACAACTTTAAACATCTTCATTCAGAAGCGTGACTGGGGAAAAGAATGGTCTTTCTCCCTATCACATATCCCCACAGCCCCATGGTCCTGCCTGGGGTCCTTGCCTATCCCTCTGCATTTTCTGGATGTAGACAGTCACACAGTTCTCTGGCTGTCACTCTCTTTCACCTGCCGTTCCTGTGTTTATTGAGAAGTTTTTGGTAGAAAAATGATAACATATTCAGGCCTTGCGGAGAAGTCATTGCTTTAAT